TATTTTAGGTGAGCCATTTATAAATTTAAAGATAAAGCAAAATTTATTTTAAAGCATGAATAGGTAGAAGAAGTTAGCAGAGGAAGTTTATTATTTTTCAGAAGTCGCAAATTTCTATTGATCAACAGCAACATATATATATATATATTTATGGAAATGGAAGGGTCAAATATTTTTGTTGGTAATAAAAGTGAAATATTAGATGTGGAAAGTTTACAAGTTGCCAAAGTAGGAAATTCACAGGTAAATTGCTCGAGCTAAATGCTAAATTCACTTGGTTTTTAATTATATTGTAAGACCGCTGAAGTCTTTTCATATCATTCCGAGAAATTTTAATATTTGTGAGTTGCATGAATCTTTAAATAATTCTTTAATTAAGAAAATACTATTGTAAAATTAAATTTTTCTCATCAAATTTCCCTAAGAATGTGAAAAAATTTCCTATTTTATCTCTACTTTCATTTTACGGATTTCAATTTCATATAAGTATTTACGGATTCTTTCAAAAAAAACGAGTTTTTTTTGGAATTTTTTTTTTGTTATCGAAAACAAATTCTAGGTTAAGTTCATAAAAGAAGAATGGTGATTTTTACCGATTTTCTTTTTACATTTATCAGTTAGTTTTTATTTTTTATGAATTTTTCATAAAATTAATTAAAGATTTTTAGCGAAAAATCGAAACAGGGCAAGGGAAAAATGAAAAAGATATTAATCTCATTTGCGACGAGTGCCTCAGTGATAGTTCAGGGGATGATAAAAGTCGTCAAAAACTTGGTATAATTTTTTATTCTTTTTGTTAGAAAACGAATTAACATGTCGCTTATTCTTTATTTGCTTGTTTTTATTTTTCTAACTTTTCTACTAATTTTATAATGATTTTTTTTGCAAAAAATTTGAATAGTGGTTTTCATTACAGATTGTATCATTATAAAGTAGACCAATTTTTGGTTATCGTTTTATTTGCAATTCCTGAGGAACGAAAATATCCTTAAGAAACTTGGCACATGTAAGATGTTTCCAAGTTGCCCGATCTGCCATCATCGATAGGTAAATAGAAGCCATTCCTTTTGGCGATGGATAACGTTTGAAGAGTTTGGCCCGAAGATCATCTCATTTAGGAGCTTTATAGGCCTTAAACTTCTGGGTGACAGAGATTATTTACTCTTCTGTTGGTTTGTATTTGCAAACATATGGTTCGCGTAGCGAATCAGCTATTTTTAGAGCAATAGATTGCACATCGTGGTTACCTTCAAACGATTTCTTCCATCTTGCGAGGCGATCCTTAACTTTTAACATGTTACGTACTGTTATTATTTCGTACCATTTCACTGATCGTTCCCTGACTTATAATTGCTTTTATGAAGGAGACGGGATGTTAACAAAAAATTATTCGGCAAATCGAAGAAGGCCCAACGCCAATTACGAATTTATCATGGTGGCATCGTGGTTTGTGGTCGATTCCAGTCTTTTCCGATTATGACCATGTCATCTTTCGCTTGAGGTGAAGTTCTGCATACAAATTATCCTTATCACAGCTATTTGCGCTAAAGTTTGAGCGTATATACTGATGATCGAAATATTGCAGAACTTTCCTTTAAAGCGAACATGGACCATATGGTCGTTTACTAGCTTCCACTCAATCAGAGTGGACCGAGCTTTTCGAGGTATGATAGTCGCTATGCCATTTTGTCTGAGTTCACATCACAATAATGTAGCCAGTACCTGGGCTCGGAGTAGGTTTAGTCAATACTCGAGACCTCAAGTAAGCAAGGGTTTCCCATAAGCAGGCTAGATCTACATGATATTTAGAAAGAGTGTGGACAGTGGTCACTTGGCTTGTTATGTCCATAGCTTTCAGGCATTCCACGCTGCCACGACCAGCATTTCGCCATCGTATAGAGAGCCGTTTCCCTTGATAGGTTTCGATAAATTGCCATGGAGCGCATTTTATTTACAAGCTTTGGGATCGTTTTTCGCCAGGATTGTATATTTATCACACCACTGGGCTGGAAATATCAAGCGCGTTGGCGGACGTGGATGCCATATTATTAGATCCTTTCATTATAGTCATTTGAAAACAGTTACAAGTGGGTCCCTAGTAGCCACCTAGATCTTTGATATTATTTATACCTGTCGAATACAAGGATAAAATGGAAAAATTAAATTTAAGAAAAAAAATAAACTTGAAAAAAAGACATATATATAATCGAGCGAAAAAAGTATTATATCACGTGCTTACACTCATAAAATTTTTGTACTAGTAGTTCTTATTATTTTTTTTTTGAAGTATATGTTGGATATTTTCGATTTCCTTCGAATTCAATTTCAATTTCGACTAAGTAACCGCAAAATTTTAAGAAATCTATTCAAAAAGTGAACAAATTCGCCAAAGGCTTTCTTCAAATAACATTAAAAGTAGCAAAAATGTTGCAAGAGATTCAAATACACGAAAAAACTTGCAGGCATTTCTTACAAACTTCAATTTTAAATCCTTGAAGAATGAACAAATTTTTAAATCTTCATCGATATGTAAATTTTGTAAATTTCTCAAAAATTTTTTCCATTCTAATATTTGTTGTAGATAATGAGGTCAGCGGAACAATTTTTCCTGAAATTGGAGATTTGACGGGAATCATCAAAGCTTTCGATCAGAATTTGCTCACTGATATTTTGAAAAAATTGAAAAGACATAAAAAATGGCTCAGTGAAGGTATGCTTAAATTTCATTGATTTCGAATGTCTAACAAATATTAGTTGAAGATTTTGATTTTTGGAATAAACTGGATTATATTGGTATTTTTACAATAAAATAGAAAATAAAAGTATCAACTACTGGAATCTTGAATGGGAATAATTATATTTCATATAATTTGAAACAAAAATAAAATTTCTTGGATGTTTTTAGAAATCATATCTTTATAGGAATCATGGTTCATCTTTCAATCCTTTGTAAAATTTTTCTTTAGTCGGTAAATTTTGGTTGCAGATTTTAATACGGCATTCATTTTTTGTTATTTGGAAATGCTCCCTTTTTTTCTATTGATTTTCACAAATGTGGCTTAATAAAATGAAATGAGGAGAAATCTGCATATAAAATTCTGAAAAAAATTGGATGATCAAATTTAAGGATCAAGTTTTGAAGCAAAATCAGTCGAGAAAATAATGCCAATGCAGCATTTTCAAAAAAATTCTACTGCGGGTAAATTATTACTTTTCTCAGTTGTTTTTAAATATGAAAAATGTTGAAGTATTTTATGTGGCCAAAAGAATGATTGCACCGTTTAATAATTTTGCAAATGATATTATTTTTCCATTCTTTTCTTAAAAATTACCATTCGGTTTAGATTTTTCTTTATCAAGTTCCATATAGTTTGTTTTAGACAGTTCAGGCTCGTTTAATAATTTAATTCCAATCCCAACTCTGCGAGATTATGTGAAGTTAATGAAACAAACTTATAAGCATTTGAAGAGTCGAACACAAGAAAATATGAGAAATAAAGTTTGTTCATTTATTTAAAAATCTGTAGAATCCAAGTCGATTCTTTGTAAAATTTTTGTTATGAATATCAAGTCTTTTGAAGGAATTAAAAAATTTAGGGATGAAGTTAAAACTATTTTGTTAAAATTTAGGGACTATCACTGATAGCATTATTCCTTTTTTTTTGAGGAATTAAATCAAGCTAATACATCAAGAAATGCAACAGGTGAGTCCCGAATGGTTTTTGAAAATCTGATGCCAAATTCGATAAATGGGTCCTATATATGTTCGCCAATGCTTGAAAAAACGAATGTTATTGTTATTTAAATTTAAATATTATTTAAGTTTTAATGCTAGAAACTGTTTGTTGATTTCTTATGGTTTTTATATTGAGAATATATAGGTTGTTTTTTCGATTAGATTAAACAGCTTTTGTTTAATCTCATCATATATATATTTTTTCACCTATTCTTTATTCTTTATATAAAACCTCTCTGCCGTGATCCGGGCTATAATATCATCTTTTTGCTTGGCCATTTGGTATTAGAAACCCAAGGTATTTAAAATCGGGCATTTCCTCGATCGGCAATGAATTTACAAAAAGAGGTATTTCATCAGCTTCTTGTACATAAGACTTGTTTTGTATACATTAATCCTGAGTCCTATTCTTGCTGCAGTTTCTAACACGTTATTTAGCATTACTTGCATTTCGTCAGCAGAAAGAACTACATCATCAGCGTATTCAAGATCTGTAATACGATGCTTGGACATACCGTGAGTGCTGACAAGTGGTGTCCATTAACCAGTCTATCGTATAGTTGGATATTGTAGGGGAAAGGACGTATCTGTGGCGGACACCAGTTCTTATTTCGGAGAAGTCTGTCAGTTCCCCAAGTAAACAGATCTGTGCCGACGTAAAATGCCTTTATGAGTCGAATGATCTCTGGAACGCCGTCGCGTTCCATCTCCCTCTATAGCTCCGCTCTATTAATTGAATCAAAGATAGCGGCAAAGTTGAGTGACAGTGAGTTACAAATATCCGATGTACCAACATCCTTCTTAACGTGGTCAGCACAACCGCGCCCTGGTCTGTATCCAGCTTGATTAGGGCCATCTCGTACTTCCACAAGTCTGTTGAGTAAAGGGGAAAATTTTCGCTGAACGTCTAGTAGGCTGATTCTTCGATAATTGTTGCACTATGTCCTGCACCTTTCTTGAGAATTGGGAGCAGAATTGCTTTGCTCCAATCATCTGGTAATATTTTTTTTCCCATACCAGAGAGTACATTTGTTGAAGGTGTGTTATGTGTGTGTATGTGAAAGACGATGGACAACATTTAAATAGTTCAACCCATCTTGAGACAAGACTATCTTCTTCCGGAATCTTATTGGCCTTAAGCTTATGGATAACAAATATTATTTCTTCTTCTGTCGGGGGTTTCAAGAGTTCAGCGAACTTATCAGTTATATCAGGGATAATAGCTTCATGGTTAAATTTGGCTTCAAAGAATGATTTCCATCTTATGAGGCGGTCCTTAATACTCTCGACTGGCACACCATTGCTGTCCATTTCACTCCCTGAATTATAGTTGCTTTATAAAAAAGGCAGAATAGTTTCCTATTATCACCTAATCGAGCCACTGCCTCCATTCTTGAAGCCTGGAAGATTTAGATAAGATATTTATATTTTATTTAAGAAATCATATTCTTATATTATATGTTCTTTTATTATAAATTAAAATAAAAACTTTATAAAGTTCGAATTGGTTAGCAAAAAGGTATTAAAGGCATATTAAGTATCATTAAATATCATTGGTAAAGCCGATGCTATAATATTTTTTTCGAGCTAATTAGTTATTATAAATTAACTATGAATTATGTTCTTTTAATAAATAACTATTAATTGATTATTTCGAAATAAAAATCAAATTTTTAAGGATTCATGTAAATTTTGTGGTGGTAGACTTCGTGCTATCGACAAATACCGACCAGATAAAAAATGGGCACTGCAATGCCGGCGAAAAAATTGTCTAAAGTTGGTCAAAATATTTTTATTTTTTATAATTGTAAAATTATTTTTATTTTTTATAATTATAAATAATTATAATTATTTATTTCTTTTGGATGATTTATTGTTCAAGACTATAATTCTTAAAAAATATGGATAATTGTGGTTCAGAAATGAAAATTTTCTAATTTTCTCCTCTTATTCTTTCCATGTTTTTCATTTTTTATATTTTTTCATGTTTGTTTTTATAGGTTTAATGGCTTCGTAGATTTTGATCTCATCCCAAATGAATTTAAAATATCTCAGGTATTTGTTTTTTAACTTGTAGACATACATCCGCATATTCTGCATTTTCATTTTTATTAAGGTTAATTTTTTACAATTTTTTAAATGTTGTGCAAAAAAATACCATAAATGATATAACGCAGTCTATTAAAATCATTTATTTGTCAAAGGACGATTCATACAGTTTGGCCTTAGTCTATTAAATTGCCTAAAAGCCAGAATCGAAGGTCTCATTACGAAATACAATGAAAAGTAGAAAACTTTATTAAGATTTTAGCACAAATTATATTCAAGTAAATCAAATTATAGCAAAGCTTTAAAGATGAAATTTAAAAAATTAAAAAATTTTTATTTGTTGCAATAAAATTAACATTTCCGAGCTGTAGCAAATATTTTATTGGCGCGTAAATTTTGGAGTCATCGGAAAAAACAATGATTTTTGAGGATTTAGTACAAAGATTTAGTATATTCAAATCTTTCGTTGAATTTTTGGCATAAAATTGTCGCAGAGAAACTATAATTGTTGAATGAGATAGTTCACGGTCCATAGTAACTTTCGCAAGATGCGTTGTCAAAATAACGTAAAATATAGCCGAATTCTTGGCTTACTGAATTCTTACTTGACGTGTAATTTCTAAGGTTGTCAGTCCTTTGTAGATTGGGCTAAATTAGAAGTCCCTCAACAATACGAGGGCGGGATAAATTGTTCAAATCTTCAATATTTCACTTTTCTGGGTTTGATTGTATTTTACATTTTAACCATACTTTGACCTTTGAGCTTGTTTATTCAAATGCCATCAGTTAATGCCAAGCATATCTGTCTTGCTTGGTTGTTTTGTAAATGAACTGTGGCACACGGATTTCATACTATAATATTCAGCTAGAAATCTTTTTCTATGGTTCTTTGTCTGTTCTATTTAGTATTCTCCCAGACTGTGACATTCTTTTGAACATCGTCCATTATCATACCACTCATGCTGTTCTCTATTTTCTCATATGCTTTTATAGCATATATTCGCTTAATATTCATTTCTCAGACGTATCATGTATTTTTATTTCTTTCGTTATTTTCCTTATCTTTGTCTTTAATAAACTAAAAATTTTGATTGCCTGCAGAAAGGATTTTTTTGCTGGGTTGAGAATAAATGATGGAACTATTTTATTTGTGTATTTCAAATGATTTATCCGCAATATTTAATTTTATTGAAAATTTAAGTCGAAATTTGCCTCTTTTCCGGATACAACGAAAATTTACCACGGGTTGGATATGGACGCAGAATCAATGTTTAAATCAGGGTATGTATCGGCTTCAAAACCTTATTATTAAATTTCATAAACTTTATAAATTTTGACATTATTTTATTTTTATTTTCTGCATCAAATGAGTTCCGCTTCTGTATAATTGTTTTAAATTAAGAAAACGAAATCCACCAGTCATAGAAAATGGTTTTTTGATGGTTCATTGTCTCGGCCAGAAAAAACTGTGTCGTCTTGTTTAATGTATTTATTATAATGTTATAATATTATTTAATTATAATGTTCTTAATATTATGTACATCAAGTCTTTTTATTTTTATTTTATTTTTATTTTGGTCTTTTATAATAATAAATCTATTTTTTTGAAAAGATTCTCAACCGCACTGATGAAAATTATGAATTTAAGTTTTAATCGACCAAAATTAGTTTGATATGGTCAAGGGAAAATAGAAAAATAATAGAGATTTCATTCAGTAAGGATGTAACATAAAGCAATCTATCAAAAATGTATGGGGTAATGTAAAAAATAAAGGCATTTAAAAGTAGCGCGGATTAGAATAATAGAATAATAAAATTAAGAATAATAAAATTAGAGTAATAACAGTGGTTTGACCAATTTTTCTGTTCATTATATATTTTTCTTTTGGAGTTCTGATAAAATTCTTGTACTGAATACATTTTCAACATTAAGTCGGTCTAGTCTTCTAGACAACTGATTTACCCAATTTTTCATTTCTTCCAAATCGCTTGTGCTGCAATGTAATGCTCGAATTTATTTCCAAAGAAAGGAAAAGAACGAACTTACTTTTTCGACAAGACAAATTTGCGTGCACCGATTGAGGCGCAGAATGAGCGAGTAAAGCCAAATCGTTTATGGCGCATCACGGCTAAGGCAGCTACTATCTGAAGAAAAATTTTTTTAACTCAATTTTTTCATTTATTTGTTCTTTCGTTGGCTGACTTTTCATCTTTTCATTGATACATTCATTTTTTCTTTGTATGTTAATTTTTTTAATTTTTTAAACGTATATTATAGTGTTTTCGGTTTTTCTGCTTCTCATCCTGATCAATTTTTACAAATAACTCTACATAAAAACATAGGATAAGGTAAAAAAACAAGGACAGAAATTGTTTCATGTTAACAACAACGAAAGGACCAGCAATTCTTCATGAATAGATACTTTCCCAGGACAATACAGAAAAAAATGAAGTAAAATAAGTAAAAGTAAAGTAAAAGAAGTAAAAATCATTTAGAAGGCAATATTATCTACTGACGTGAGGTAACTGAACGGTGATTTCACTCAGCTCATCTGCAATTTTATTTAACCTTTTAAGCATAGTTTTTTCGGGTTCATTTAAAGAAACTGAACTAGGTATTAATCCAGCGATAATCTGCAAAAAAAGGAAACAATTTAATCAATTATATTTAATGTTTTTAAATGAGAAATGTAAGCAATTCTTCACTAGCTTTAACGACGAATGAAAAAAAAAATGATACTAATCAGATAAGACTGTTCGAGCGAATCTCATAAAATCAATTCCTGGCCAAGGTTTGAAAAAATGGATAAAATTCTTTAAAGAATAATTTGAAACTTATAAAAGTTTATTTGCCTGATTTGCCTTTTTCATGCTAATGTCGATCCGATTTTGAATACAACAAAGTCGATTCTTTATATCTGAAAACTCAGCTACTAATCGTAAAAGTCTTTCGTTATAAACTGCCTTATCATAATCCATTTTGGCTATCCGCTCCAACATTTCTCCAATCCTTAAATTACTCTCATTTTTAATCTAAAAAAAATCGTTTCACGGGGAAAAAACCATACTTGCTCAAAAAACAATAATATTTGACCTCTCCCTCATAAATTTTGAATTATTAAGAAGAATCCAGCTTTTTAAAGTGAAAAAAAGCAAAGTGGAAAAAAAATTTTAAAAAGAAAACATTTTTGAGGTCATAAATACTTTAACATGAAAATATGCAAAGATTAAGGAAAATTACGTTTTTCGAACAACAACATGTATTTCTCCCATATTCTCCAAATTATTCGTGAGGGAAGAAATAACCGACTCAGCAACTAGAAGCATTTGTGGTTCTAGCATTGAATCGTTGAATCTAGAAAAAGTGGAAGATAATTTAAATATCTAAAAAATTTTAACTGACAAGGTTCTATAAAATAAAATGCAAAATTAATTATCTGTAAAGATCAATCGATCGACCATCTAATCTTCTTAAAGATTCTGATAAAAAGCAATTTTTTCCAAATTTTTGCACTTTGCCAATGAAGCATGAGATAGGTTACTAAATCGAAAATCGGCAAAAAGATTTTTTAAAACTTGAGAGAGTGATATTTTAAACGGAGCAAACAGTTTTAAAGTTTGCATTTAACATTTAACATTCACGTTTTTTGTGGACATTTTAGAGCAGTTACTTGATTTGAGGAACTGAAATGCGATTAACTGATAGCCTTTCGCACTGATCCATCAATTGCACCACAGATGAATCTGTATTTTTTTGCAATTCCAAATCCTTTTTATATGAACAACATATATTTCTTCGACCTGTTCTAAATAAATTAAAACAAATAGAAATGAATAAATCATAATAAAATATTTTGAAACTTTAAAAAATTGAATTACAAAAATTAAGCGAAAAAATGGATACTACGAAAAAATAAAAGTAATCTGATTCAGAAAAACAAGAATTTTACGTGACAATCTTGGACTTAATTTCCTTTCCATCCGTATGCATTACCACTATACGATTCGATAAAAAGGAGTGAAAATTTGAGCTGGAAAAAATTCTGCTTTCATCAATAAAATAGAGTGCTGCTGTTGACAATATCGTTGATTCATTAGCAAGACAGCAAACTATATGATCAATAGTATAAGAAGGATGATGTTGAATACTACAAATGAAAACATAAATAAAGCTAAAGTTGAAGCAATATGTATGTATATGTATATAAAACATACCCACTATCCACTACCTTATCTGATAAATAAATAAGGAAAACATTAAGACCATCAAAAGCCAAATAAGCTGCGATATTCCAGGAAACTGCAAAAAATAAAAAGGTGAATATATGCCTTTTAATCATATAAAAGAATAAAAACTATAAATAAAGAATACTGACCAGATAACAAAGAATAAGTTTTGAAAGACGAAGGTAATGTGAAGAAGTTACTTAAAAAAAACTGCACATTCAGTGAAGTGTTTAGATCGATCTGAAACAAACTTTGGTATTATGCCACCGAATAAATGAAATATTGGCTGAGCAAACAAAATTTAAAAAAATAAACTTTAAAACGCACTACATCATCAATGACTAAACATATATGAGCAATTGTTCCATCATTGAAAGCCAAGGCAAAAACAAAAGATTCATTTGACCAATCACATAAACATAAAAGATAGCATGGCTCATAATCAAATTTATCTTCTATAAAAGAGAGGTCAATTTGAAACGGTCCCAACATTCTCGAGCTACAAAATTAGGTATAAAAAAAAAATAAATTACAAATTAATAAAGGGATAATTTACGAACAAATAAATAAATATAAAAAAAAGATACAAAATCAAATCAAAAATTTATTTAAATGAGGTACTATTTTGGCAACTAGCCATATTTAATCTGTTAAGATTAATATTTTCGAAATTAGATAACAAACCTCCTTCCATTGAAAATTCCCATGTAAATACCTTTACAATCATTATCAATAGCAAATATAATATTGATAATATCTCCATCATTTTCGCACTGAATACAAGGCCCGAAGTCGAAAGAAACTAAAAAATATATAAGATTAAATATTTTTAAATATTTTTATTTAATAAATATTTTTTGCTGTTAGCTTCATAATTAAATAAACAAATAAAATAAATAAATAAAATAAAGTGTATTATAAAAGAAGTTATAATTCTTTGGTTTATTTCATTGGATTACCTGGATGACAAATGACAAAACAATTTTAAAAATCTAAATATTCCAAAAATTTCATTTGAAACTTTTAATGTAGAAATCATCTATGCGAATTAATTAAGAACTGCTTAATTATTTTTCGATAATTTGAAATTTTTATGCTATTTCAAGCAAAAAAAAAATTGTTGCAAAAACTGATATAGAAGTATTGGTTGAATTTTTCACTGAAAATGACTTTCAGATATCCACTAAAGTAAACTTCGATTTGATTTGAGATTATTATATGCATGACATACCTATCGAATTGTGCAATCCCAGTCCTTTAGGGAAACTCTCATCTTTATCAGTTCGAAAATCGAATATTATTAATGGCGTATCAAAACTATCTGTTAGATTGAAAATCCTGCAAATTTAAGTTTTTTTATTCTCATTTTTTGACTAATTAAAACAGTTTTAAATAAGATTCGATAACTTAAGAAATGAAACCATTACGACAGAATTATGAAGAAATTATAAAATTGATTACCCCACTAAAATACCCCACTAAAATTTACAATGCATAAATTATAATTTAATTTTAATATAATATTTAAATACCGAAAGTGATTTTTTATAGAATTTTTTCTCAGCTAATCTTTTTGCTTCCTATCAAGAATTTCCTTATGATTCCATTAATCACAATTCCATGGGCTTTTAGTCTCTGATTTTATTAAGAAGCACATAATAAATCTTATAAATATAAACCTCCCATATCTTCCCCTAAAACTATGCAATTCTTTTTCTGACTCCTAATTCTTTTGCGGTGAAACCATTTACTACTATGACCTTTTTAGCTTCATTGCTCCCTTAAATGTAAAATTATATCACGTGTGTGTACGTGGTACTGTAATAATATTGTCGCACTGCTGAACACCTATTATACAGATATAATACAAAAAAGTGTAGAAACGAACCTTACAGTGCTGTCCGAATAGAGTAGTGCTATCACACTAGAATTCACATAATTACCAACTTTTCGTTTTGGATACCATATAGCTTTAATTATTTTAGGAGCATAACGAGATAAGTGCAAGCTATTTGCAACTGGTTTACACCTTAAATCTTTATAAAAAATTTTTACCATAAAAATTAAAAAAAAATGGTATTTTTGTGTAAAAAAATGATAAGCAATGGTATTTAAAATGTTTTTTCTTGTTTTTTTATGGTTAATGAAAAAGAATATATGGATTCTTTATTGATCAGGAATGGATATGGATAAAAGAGAGAACACAAAGGCATCAAAAGAGAAAAATGAAATACAATATTCTCACTGTCCAGTACCACTATCAGCCAAATGTAGAGATAGTGGCAATGGAATATTCATCTGAAAAGCTATTTAAAAAATCAAACTTCATAACCTGCAATAATAGATAGGTTCGACAAGATCTCGCAATTCCTCAAGACAACGACCACAAATTTCACTCGGTGCTTCAACTACAAAAGCTGAAGTCGAAGAAATTAAAGCGATTCGAGTGCCAATACTATTAACGATTAAATAATCAAAACTATAATCAGATGGTGGCCGAGGACAAAGCTCCAATTTCTGAAATCTCTGGCAAGTTATTTTACGTGAAAAAACCAATCCTGCAATTCTTCTAGAAGGGAGCATTCAAATACATTTCCTTTCCTTGTAAATAAGTGTAAAATTTTGATTTTTCCTAAATTTTAGAAAAATACACATAATTTAATAGAGAAACTAACAAAGCAACGCTTGCATTCGATTGTTTTATCAGTAATCTTCCAAGAGTAGAGAAGCCATAGGGAGAAACCATCATAAACGAGGAGGTTTGTTTGCATGTAATTCGCGAGCAAAACCTTCCCTCCTTCCCGAAATAATTCGTCCAGCTGCACTTCCATCGCGCCTTTCTCTAAAACAGTCGCGTGCACACTAAAATCCTCGTCAGCCCTCGGCCGTTTTCCTCTAATGCCGCTCAGCGCTATTTCCCAGGCGCAGTCCCCTCACGGCTCACATTTTTACATTTAAACTACTTGCAATTTTATTCGTTGGCAGTAAATCGAAAAAGTTAATTTAAAATTAACTAACCCACCGAGAAAAGATTAAAACCCATTAAAAAAAAACGTCGGCCACACAAACAAGAAAAACGCTGAAATATTTAGCACGAAAAGCCGATTAAGGCGAAAAACTAAGCCGAGTTTTTTCCATTTTTATTCGTCAGCCTACTGCTTCTTCAACAAACTTGAAAATTAATTAAGGTCGCGCCAGGTCTTTCGAGATTCCAGATGATAATTAATAGCTGATAGTAAAAAGAGAGATGATATAACTCCAAATGGAACTCTTTTAAAACGATAACATTGTAGATTTTCTTCAGTAACCCCTTTGTTTATATCCTTCAACCAAAGAAATCTGGTGCAATTCCTGTCTTCGAGATGTAATTCTATTGGCAAAAATGCCTTTTCTATATCGGCCATGATTGCTTTTCTTAGCATTCGGAAGCGAAATAATACCTACTATATCTCAAAGTATTATCGGATCATGATATAGTAAGAAACTTAAATTTTTTGATCCCTTTACGTGTATATTATGATGAGGTAAATAATATAGCACCAACTTGGTCCATATAAGGTTCAATCTTTTCAATTATATCAGAGCGCAATTGATTCTTAATTATTCTATGATATTGTTCGAATTCTTGTTGACGAGGCTGAAATCGTCCAATCAAGTTTTTTAAGGCCATAACATATTATATAATTTTTGCTTAATTTAGATGTAGATTCCTTCCATGGCCATCGTACTTGATATCTTACATTAATTCTGATAATATTCTCTTTGAATTGTTCTAGAGCTCGTTCGTCATCATAATCATAAGGTTGCTCATGTATACCTATGCATTCCAATTTCCAGAATTGATCTCGATCAGAATTGATCTGAGATACGATGTATACTAGAAATACATTTTGATTTATGGGTAATTTGATTAATTTCTTCGATATGTCCACTTCCGCGAATCATAGGACCCAATTTAAAGTAGAGAAAATCCTGATTTTATTTGTTGAATTTTCTCTAGTTGTATAAATTTGAAGAAGTAGTCGGCTCCAATTAATATATTTGGTTTTTTCCGGTAGAAAGCTAAGCTTTCTAACAGATAATTCTCGTCCAGTGTAGATGGTATATCTGCTACTTGAAGTTCACTCGTTAAACGTCCACTTCACAAACTATTATATCCTTGTCCTTATTTCTTAATTAATTAATATCTCCATTGTGGGAAGTACCGTGTGATGTCTAGTTCCAAAGGTAGATATATTTAATTCTGTTAATTCCGTTTCTTTAAATTCTAAACGGCTTGTTAATTCATTAGATGCAAAGCTTAATTTTTAACCAATATCAAATAACATTTCACAACATTCTGAATTTCTAGAACTTCACAACATTCTGAATTTTCTGGGTTAGACAATAACTTCTTTACATAAAAGTAAAACTTCTTTCTCTCTTTCGGGGATCGTGTTGATGATAGCCGTTTCATCATCTAATTTGATTTCCTTTTCTGACATGAGATTATGTTCTGCTTGCTTAAATTATCGTCTTTTGTCATAGTGTGTGCTCTGTTATTACATTTCACCGATTTTTTTACAATCGGCCTCTATATATTCCTTTTTGAGGCATTTTCGACAGGTTTAATCTTAAATGTTCTAATCTTTGCTTTAAAGTAGGATAAGTTTCACATTCACTATCCCAATGATCTTTGGTGCAAAACGAACAAGGTTTTCTCTTATAATTACCATCTAACTCTTTTTTTATCGACAAATTTGAAATAACTTTAAACTTATGTGGATGAGGTTGACTGATTGTTGCCAGTGCGGAAGTTTCTCGATTTGTTGCCAACGTTTGGATTTGAACTGGGTTAATTGTCGTTCACCATTGGTGTTTTGAAGCTTGACTTCTAGTTACTTGGTCGTTTCTTTTTACTAATTTCCCGAGAAACTGTCGAAGTTTTGTTACTGACCAGGTCTCGTCATTATCTTTTTTGTTTAAATATTTTCTCTAATATCCATCCTGGTAGCTTGTTTTCAATGGTAGCTTGCTTTCAATACTCGAGTGTTCAAGATTTTCACCAATAGCTTCAAGTTGACGAAGAATTCTTTCGATTTATTCGTCTATCACTTTCCAATCTCGATCGTATGTAATTTGACAGTATGTAATTCATTATAGAGAGATTTCTTAATAGTGGAAATCTCCCCAAATTTTTCAGTTTTTAAAACTTTTCGTATGACTTGGTAGTTTTCCGATGCAATATCAATATCATAACAGCTTCTCCCTTCAAGCAGGAGACTAAATAATTTAATTTCTGAATATCTGGAATTGTTTGCGAATGTAGCTTCAAAACTGCTCCAAAATTTTCTCCATAATTTGGGTCTCCAAATATTGGTAGCGGTAATTGCGGCAAATTTATTGTCGATAAAGAAGCTGGTTTAAGTTATATCTTGCTGCTTAGATTCTTTATTTAAATGTGATTCCTTAATTTGTTCGATTATTGATCCGAAATCCCTTTTATACATTTTATACTAGTATAACAACTTTTTACCATCAATTATTAAGTTTAAAATATCTTTTTCATTGTCGACCGTTTGGGCATACTTTTCGCTTCTTTTTTTGTGGAATGACTATTGACTATTGATATAGTCCAACCATTTTGTATTGACTGATTCCAAATAGCTAATGTGTATTTCGAATCGATTATTCTTTTTTTGATCTCGTATTGTGATTTAATTCCTCCAACGGCAGCTCTTGATTCGGTGGCGATAAATCCAAATTTCGTATTTCACTCAGGAGTTTGGTTAGTTTTGTTATTTCAAGTTGTACGCTTTTTGTTAAGCTTCTCGTCATGTTCCCGGCTCGTGGCACCAAAAATTTTGTCGGAAAAAGAATATAATATATTGTTGCGACCATGAATTGAAATATTTATTAAAAAAATACGGTTTACTATAATAAATGAAAAATAGTCATAGGTTCGAAGTAAAAGCGAATAGCTAATAAAAAAAAGGGTGGTGAAGCAAAGCGAAGGCGATTCTTGTTATTGCCAATCCAACATTGACCCAGTTCTCTTTTGCCAATCTGGGTGGTTCTTCCAAAACATTGGCATATCAAAATTACATAAAAATTAATTTATTTTTATTCAAAAGATCTCATAGTTTTCTTTTTTTTAATGCAAATAAGATGGCTTTAATAAGTAACTAACAGATGCGTGAACAAAGAAAGAAGAAAAATTTTGTGCTATTTGCATATTGTTGACTGCTTATGAATTGGAAAATTTTGTTAAAACCTTGTTTTTCCTTTTTTGAATTTTAAAAAGGAAATTGTAAATTCTTACCATATTACTATTATTTTATTTCTTCCCTTCGGTTATTTCCGATACCAGCCACCTTAAATACTTTTATCTTACTTTTATCAAGATCTTGAATAGCACGATTAAATGTATTCGTGTTCTCATTTCCATTTATAAAGAACAGGCATAAGGATACTGAAAGAGCTCGAAGTATTAGGACAATGTAATATAATAATGCAATGGGATATACTAGGCTCCGAAGTTAGTTCTATATATACACAAAACTTTTTACGTTTTTAAATGCTAATATGTGAATTTTAACATAGTTATTATTGTTATGAATTTATTATTATGCATATCTTTCACAAAATTCATGAAGTCAACGAAAGCAGTCAACGAAACGTAAATAGATTAATTAATTAATGCTCGATATAATGGGTTTGCATTATCTGTAAAGTGCATAATGAACATAATGAATAAATTTTATTTATCCTCATTATTATCATTAGATACGATATCATTATAATATATCATTATATATATATATATATATCATTAATATATTAATATATCATTATCATTATATTATAATTGGGAAAATTGATACCACAGTGACTGCCTTATTAGGCAGCTTCTTCCATGTCATCCTTACTTTTTCATGATCTTACGTTTTTTACATCAGTGGAATATTTCATTGTTCATTGGTAGCTGTTATAGTTGCATCTGTAGATCTTGTACGTTCACCACTGCAAAATTCGCTATTTCTTCAAAATCACAATTTAATCTATTTAAATAGTTTGTTTAAATTCAGGATATGAAGGCCATCAAATGACACAATTATCAAAAATTACAATAAGAAAACAGCACTTTCCCAACTTCCATTTTTATCAAATGCTTTGGCATGAAAAATAAATCACCAGAAGTCTTGGAAAAAAAATCACTGCAAAATTTTCATTCGTTAAAGAACTGCTAAACAATAAATCAGTAGATTTATTATGTAGATTTTAATAGATCATAATTCTGAGTGAAATCTCCCCTATTCTCTTCGCTCTATCAAGAAGAAAAAGAAGAATGAGAATCAAAAAAATGAATACTGCTTCACAATCAACTATTCTTTCCAAAAGAATCAAGAAATACTATAAAAAAAAAAGAAAAAACCTGTCAGTAATCTGAGTAGATAAAGTTTTCCGACCTCGGCTTAAATATGACCGTTCATTTATTAGAAAATTGCTGCGAAAAGGATTTGCTGGATGAAAAGAAATATTATCCATTCTAGCGCTTACTCGATTCATTCGAAGATTTTTAAAATCATCTAGAACAGGAACGGGTAAAAGAAATGATTCATTCTGATATATATTGCTAGAATTATCTGGTTCAGGAATAGGGGCAATAAGCGATTTGCTGTTAGTTTGATAGTGACCAGATATGTCAATTAAATCCGTAATACTGGAATCATCCTGTCCATTGTCAGTCAAATTTGTTGCTGGAGTTTTCATCTCTTCTATCCTTTTATGTTCATTTTCTTGTAAAACCGATTTCGTCGAGAAATTACGCATGTTAACTGCAAACTGAGATGAAGCAACATAATCAGGAGTAGAATCCCTTGTGGCTATAGTTGCAAGGGGAATTTTAGCAGCTGATTTCATACTCCTTTCTAGATGACCAAACATATCGTTTCGCTTTTGCGAAATATTTGCACTTGCCATTTGCCGGTTCTAAGATATAATTATTGTTTTCAAATGAAATTTTGCCTGAATATATGAATATTACTGCTATTTCATTTTATTCATCCATATAATTTATATGATTTGCTTTATCAGAGATGAATAAATAGAGATGAATAAATAGACGATAAAAATATTCTGCAAATTCTTACGAATAAAAACTACTTTATTTAAAATGAATTAATTGTTTATAGCTTGAATTATTTTTTCGACATTTGCTTCAAAACAAAGAAATCAACCAAATATTCTCAACAAAGAAAAAATTAAAATAAATGGAGAATTGTAAAACTGAATGATTCTTTTAAAAAATAAAGCAAACAATAACCAGTTCATTCTGTATTTGAACATCAACCGAATTATCCCAACTTCGAAGGGAAACTTTCTTTGGTTTAGACTCGTTTATTGATTGATTATTTGCTGAAATAAAATTCCCGTTAATTCCTGTCAACCAACAGGCGATTTTGTGATTAATATGAAATTATATTACAACGACTGGACTTCCGAACCTGCAAGGTTTCTTCTATTTCTTCATCAACGATGAACTAAACTTATTTATTATCGATAAATTTATAAAAATACATAAAAGATCCAAGTTTGAATTTCAGAAGACCAACGTGGAAATGATTATAACATAAACAAAGATTTAGGAAATCTACCAAGTCCTGAAGATGATTGTGAAAACGAATTTACTGCCGCTAATTCAATTTGCTTTGAACATTTATTAGCATTATCATAGCTTCCTTGAAGACGACGAGCAAAATGTTCATCTTCTTCATAATTGATAACAGCAGAAGACTAAAAATAATGAATGATTCAGAGCCTTTTGGAAAACAGATTAAATGGTTAAGCAAAAGTAATACGTATTAATAAATCCAGCAAATTATACTTGCTGTAAGAAAGTTTCCCCTTCTTGAAGTCGACGTGCCAGACCCTCATCAAGTCGTATCAACGTTTCTCTGTAAGAAATTCCTTCCTTATCAAATTGTTGCTGCAACTGTCGAGCAAATTCTTCATCATTTTGGCAACTTAAATGATAAATGATAACTGCCGATTACGAAAAAAAAAGAAAATGAACAAAAATCCTCCGAAAACGAAAATTTAAATACGGTATGCAAAAAAGATTTTAAAATGATATTTTGATAAATGATAAAAATATTTTATATTGAAATAAAATGATAAATTACATTTTTTCATGGGATTGTTCAAGTCTTATTTGATTTTCATGCAACTGTTCTTGTAAACAGAGTCTCGTATCTCTTCCAACTAATCGTCGCTCTGCTCGATTCAACGCATAATGATGTTCGAATTCTTCTTCTTGAAGACGTGTTGCAAAATTAAAATCCTCCATTATGCGTATATGCGATGTCACTGAAAATACCTCATTAACGACAGATCCTATAACCGTTATAAAATGCATTACAAAAGAAAAAAATTAAAGCCCTCCTTGATTCATAAGAATTTCTTGATTCATAACCTTTCATGAACAATTAAAGAGAATAATTACATGTTTGCATATAAGACACCCCTTTCTCCTCCATTCTGTCGTTTCTACCTATCATTATACTACCTATCATTCTGTAGCATTAAAGCTTATCTTTGTTTCCTATAAACGCTATTTTTATTTTAAAAAGGTTCTTACAACAATTTATGTCATACACATCCTTCAATGAAATGCTAATATCATTATAAAAAACTTTTCTCTTAGCTCCTGTGGATGGATATGATTCTCTATCAGAGGCCTAGAAGATTCTGCGCAGTACCTTAGCTGTTCCTAATAGTGCGCTCTTTTGGATAGAGATCTCTGGTTCTGTCTGAAATTTGCTGAAAACCTTGTTATTTCTCTAACTTCTCATATTCCTTTTTCTGACGTTCCTGTCGCTTGATATTGCTATCACCAGTGGTGTTATATAATACCCATATCCTTGGAAAAGTTGGTCCAATAACCATCGTTCCACTTCCCTGAACCTCTTCAAACATATTTTGAAAATCTTTTGAAAACCTATATTTTCAAACTTGCTTACTTCGTAAGGGTGGGCGAGACTCTCTGAAAGCTTATCTCAAAGCTTATCTTAGCTTATTAACATTTTTGGCTAAACTGACAGCCTTTCGCCAAAAAGATTGACTTAGAAATAGAAGAAAAGATCTTTTGCAATACATGTGTTTCATTTTTTAATGGCGAATTCGCTCATATCCAACAAACAAAAATTATCCCATGATGGTCTGTTAAAAATATATTAAGCCATGGTTCTACCACAACTCATCAGCAACCTCTTTTTGCTTGCAAGCACCGCTATAGTCTTTCACAACAACCAATGTTTCTTTAACTTCTTACCAAACATTGCTATGCAGCTAAATATGGTTGTTGCTCAATAGCAGATAACCTTGAGAGTTAGATGCGAGTCCTGTTTTTAGCAGTAAAAAGCTCAAAAAGTCCAAATGGTGCTGGCGACCCAAATGCTATCAGCAGTTCCACTTCTAGAACCTTCACTAAGTAGCTCTACAGCAAAAATTCCTTATTGCACTAATAGCCAGTGAGGGTCTAACCGGAAATGAGGCTAACCACTTGTTCAACGAAATAAATAATTGGTACCATCCAACTACTGCATTCTCTCTGGCCTTGATGTTTACTCATTGAACTATAAACAATCAACTAGTGATAATTTTTCGAAAAAAATGGGAAAAATAGGCCAAAAAATTCCTTTAAAAATAGAGGCCAAAAAATTTTATCTGTAGACAAAATTTATAAAAATCTAATAAAAGAACAGAACATTTACCATCACTAACGATATTTCCTTTTCTTTCCATTTCTAATTTTTCTTATTTTTGGAAATATCTGAAAGTTCAATTATTATTTTTCATTTTCCACGTAACTTATATAATATATAAGTGCAAGGTTCTAAAAATTTTTTTTCAAAAAAAAAAATTTTATAACCAAATAAATTACCTAAAGCCTTCCTCTTATTGTTCATATGTTTATTATTTCACTAATTTATTTATTCTAAATTTTTATAATCGACAATATTATTTATTCGTCAACACGCAACGCAACCACTTCTTTTTTTCCCTTTGTACAATAAAGAAAAGAAGCAGTAATAAACCGTCGAGATTTTCAAATTTTTTATCCCATAGCCCCTCGCAGACTCGTTCTACTCTGTGGCTCCCTTCATTCCAATTACTGAAAGGCAACTAAGGATTGGAATGAAGACCCAAAAATGATAAAAACTAAGAGTTTGAAAGAGTCTGAAAAAAACGAATTTCCTCAAATTGACAGTTTTGTTCCTTGAGAAAAATTGCTTCATTTAAAAGAAGGTAAAAAATAAAAGATAAACCAGTATTCAGTTCATTACAGCAAATATGAAGTGTCAAAGTGAAATGATGAACTGGTGAAATTCTAGCAAAACAGGCCATCTTCAAGTAAACTTAGCTTGCTCAACACTGCTGGGTGTTAGCGGACTCCAATAAAGTAAATAAAATTTACATTCAAAACAAAAAGCCGAATCACAAAGTGGGGAAAATTGCACGTATTTTATAAAATGCAACTTAAGTTCCAAAGAAAAAAATTAAGAATTCAAAAATAAAATTAATCTTGAAATCCAAAATAGAATATCATTTTGAACGAAAACTTTTAATGTGCATTGGTGCTGACAAATATTTAAATATTTGGCTGAGAGGGAATCCGTTACCAACCAAAGGTTAACCAAAGGTCTTCCCTTTTCTTCATTGTCTTGAACGAAACCAGAAGCATTCAACAAGATACCATCAAAAGATTAACCGTCGAGATAATACCTGAAGCATCTACAAGCATTGGAGAAAGACCAAGCAGAAGAAATACCACAGCAAAACAAGACTTCATGTGATGTAACATCGACAAACAGCTGATATTGAAAAATTTTACCAGTTGTTGGAAAAAGTTATGCACCGCTGACGTAGTGAACATTCATCAAATTCATCGAAGTAGGGATCTACCACATCGAATATGACCTAAGGATATATTCAAATTATGGAGAAAAGAAACTGAACTGTTCAATATAACATAGTGGTATAATGCAGGAAGAGCAGACATAACTAAGCACTATTTATAGAATTATCTTAATAGATAGCTCAGATCCTTCTAAGTTCCCCAAAAAGTTGAAGATTCCCCAAATCATGGAGAATAATAGGGCGAATAGGGAGAATAGACGTGCGAGACCCTTTTCCATCCAGACACACAAATAAGTTCTGACCAATCAACTAAATATAGTGGCAGAACCAACATTGGTGATAGGCAAGCAATATCAAATGATAGAAAGAATATGAAAAATTAGAGAAATACCAGAAGGAACTAGAGATGTGGAAAGTGAAGGCCAAAGATCCCTGTGATAACTGCAACACTAGGAACTGTGACCTATAAAATAAACAGGTGCTTCAACAGATCCTAGGAATAAGTCCAGAAGAGCAAACAACTAATCCAACTAATCTAAAATTAAGATACTATATAGAAACTTAATTTTTCCACCTCCCCCATGCCTCTGGTAGTGGATTCGAGGTTACAGATGATTCTTTTACATAAAGGTGAGGACATGATTCCTTTTTTATAAAAAAACACGAAAATCAAAATGACAGATATGACGATACGAAGTGATATGATATCTAGAAGAAAGAATAAAAGTACGAGAAAACGATGGGCTGGATAAGTGGCTCCACCAGACTCCAAGTACATTAGAGATCTGTCTAAAGGAGCATATTGCTGAGAGCAACCAAAATACTGCGCAGAGCCCTTAAAGGTCTCTGGTAGATGACTTGAGAACCCATAGCTTTCACTTGCTGAAAATAACAATATAGACCGAGAGACCATTTCGGAAGGTTTAAACACGCCATTCTTTTCGATAATAATGACTTGCAATGCCATGACTAAATGCGAGTTATAGAAGACTGAAAAAGATTTACGCTTTTTCAGTAAATTTTTTCAGATACGAACTAAGCCAACGAAGCTCGACATAAAATCCATGTGCATGATAATGCAGGATAACCCACAAGTACAAACAATCATACTCAAATGTATACTGCAATACAATCAATTTATATATTCAGTTTCACCCTTTTTTCACCTGCGATTTACATGTTACCCAAGCTTTTTTTTAAACATATACGCACACATATATATTCCAAAAAGGAGGAAGTTCCAAACCACTATCAAAAAATTTTTTATAAACTTTCAATCTTTTCCCAAATTGCGAAATCGCTCAGAAACGTTAAGGAATTACGCTTACATATTTCAAAATAATACGCAAATGGTTGCAAATATTGCGATGATATATAACAAAAATTACGAAGAATTATAAAAAATTGAGGAGACAATTTCGCCTAATTTTCTTCTATCTCATGATTTGAAAGCCGATTTTCTATGAAGTATGGCGTAACCAAAATTGGCAATTTAAAGGAGAAAAGCTTGAGAAAATTCAAATATATAAATAAAAATGGAAAGGTAAATAAATAACAAAAATATAGACATACGATCTGCAACGTATAACGCAAAAGATGTATAATAAAATGCATAATTGGATAAAAGTTCACAAAAATTTATTCCATCTTAAATTACTAGAATTATACAATCATTGCCTGTATAACCTTTAACCACAAATAATACAAAAAAAGCGACTTGATGGATTCAAATCCAACCAATTGAACCTTTTAATACATCCTCATCGATTGTCCGAATTTTTTCCTATACAAAATTTCTAATTCAAATCTTCCAGATCGCTGGATGATTTCGTACAAAAACCAGGATTAAGTAAAACCAATGAAAAAAATATGTCCTAATAATAAAATTAAAAACCAAGTAAAACGGCAAAATATATAAAATAATAATAATGGCGAACAAAGCTTTGTATCAGTCGAAACCTAAATAGTTTTAATAAATTGCAAGATTTACAATAATAGACAACATCGACCACAAATCTATTGTGGATAGATAACCGAAAAAAATATCAAAATGGTGAAATTTGAATTAAAAAATCTGAAATGAAAGATTAAGGAGTAGAAATGAAACCCAATCGAATATCACTATTCGATGTATTAAACCCTGAAATAATTTTAAATTCGTATAAATAAAATTGGAAAAGTAAGAATTCCAAAAAATATGAGATTAGATGGAACAAAAAAACATTCAGTAAATGAAGTAATCTTAGTACAAATAATTTTTTTTATTTATTAAGAGATTTGACAAATAATGCAAAACGAAAATCCTCGACTACCCATACTTTTTCATAGTTAATTTTAACTTTTCGAAGATTCGTTTCTTTAAACCAAATTGTACATATATATCGCTTCAGAAGTACTGGTTTTTAAAAAAAGAAGAGATTAAGTCATTCTACTTCATTCTACTTTTTATATATGAACAATGAAAAAAGGAACTGCAATTTTACCTATAATGTTCATATATGAATTACAAAAACAAAATCAATTAGGAATAGAGCTGAATTAAATCGCGAATTTGATGATAGACATCATGAACATCCTTCGCCCTGAAATCAATGATAATCATTAAATATGATGGTTTTACCGTATGTTTGTAATCTTTGAAAATTAGAAATTTTTCAGAATATAACTCACTCAATTACATTCTGAAGGAACAATTGTAATTGTTCTGAAGTGGCTGTAAGACCGCTATCATGAGGGAGTTCATCAAGAGCACATTTTAACCATTCAGATTGTTTCTTAAAAAATTATTACTATTATTATTATTTGACAATTGCTTCTATTCCCTTATTAATCTGTTTTCATTTTTCCACATTCTTTTTGCTTTACCCTTTTATTAAATTAATGTGGCTTCTGATCAGAAAATTATCCTATTTTTTTCTCTCCAAGGACAATGATAAACACACAAACGATGGCAAATAAGATATAATGAAAAAAAATTCTGGTAAATCACAATAATTTATTTCAATTAATTATTTCAATTTTTATTTCACTGAATGATTTCATTCAGTGGTGACCAATAAACATTAAAACAATTCAATAACCTCTTTTGAGATCCGACCAATTAAATACAATAAATCAGCCATGTCTCTTTTTAATGATCCATTGACTGCAAAAAGAGCTGACTGCAAAGTAGATGAAACAAGGCGTTTGCCATATTTTTTAATCAAATTTTCCACTCCGTCAACACCAGCATCACGGTAATTAGTCTAAGTTCACAAAATTCATCAAATTAAATTTAAAGGAATTCAAATGCTATTGTAAATGAAAAAAAATGAAATGATAGACTTATGCCTTTGAATGAAAAATGTAAGAATTCAAATCAAATCGAATTGAAAGTGAAATTTTAGAAAATAAATTCATATTACTTTTTTCACAAAACAATTTTGGTATTTTAAGGTGGAAGAATTTCATAGAATTAAATTGAAAAATGAAAACATGCAAGCTCAGATGAAAGTTGTACATTTCATATACATCTATCATAGTACATTGAATGCTATAAAATATTAAAATTAACTTTTCTAGCAGCTAGCAAAGATTCAATACATTCTGTGAAGAATTTGGTTAATGAACGACTAGCTTCAACATGATCGACATTTAAACCAACAATACCACATTCAAAAAGATTGTCACTAACACTTTCTTGAAAGAAAACTGAAGGCAATCGTTGAATAAACCTAAAATTAGTTATTTTTGGGTATTTTGTTTTTTCAAACCACCAACAAGAATAAACACCCGTTTTTCAAAAATCAGGATGAAATCGGTAGCTCACCTTATTCCTACCGTCAAATGTCTACCTGGCGAAATTTATCAGATTGATAAGCCAGCGGAGTCAGTTTAATTATTAGAAATGGTAAATGCTCTTAGATTTTATATCAAATAGCGATGAACCTTATTGCAAGCCTATAGAGATCATCAATGGTGTCAGGGTGATCACGAAAGCCATTTGGCTGCAAAAGAAGATCAAAAGAACCGCGAGAGAGAATCTGAAATACTTCCAATAATAATAAATAAAATAGATTAAAGATTAAAGTATTTAAAAAAAACTTGAAACTTGAAAATGATTGAGAGCTGAAATGAAAAAAATATAAAAACTGTTCAAACAAAAAATAAGAAAATTAAAATTAAAAAGAAACCGACATTGAGCATATAGATAAGGCCATTATTAAGATGATGCAAATGCGCATATTCATCAACCAGTATACTTGCTAGATATAAGAAACATGAATGTTGATATCGCTCATAAATGAATACCATCTAAAATATTTATCGAAATTGGTTTGGAAGAGATCTGGATAACGATTAGGAATTTTTAGGACGAGAAACATTTTCAAACCTTTTTTTGGTAAAAAAATGATTAAATAAAAACAGCGTGAACATTAGGAATATTCAAATAAAATAAATGCAGAAAAATACCGAAAAAAACTTTCAGATGGCCCATCAAAAGATAGATTGGTGTCGTATGGTTTAAGAAAGGATAGTAATATCTTTAGAAGACCACAAACAAAAAGTTCTCCGAATATTACCAGACTCACTAATTGATGAATAAAACAGAATATCCATGAGAAAATTTTTAAAAAAGATTATAAAAGAAAAATAAAAGAAGCGAGAATGGTCGTTTTAAAACCATGGAAATCCATAAGGAAAAATGATCGACAGATAAAATACAAAGAGAGCGATAAGAAAATAAAAAGAAAAGAGCGCCAAGAAATGGTTGCTCAATTATATCGCATGTTATAAAAATAAAAAAAATTATACTTGCTGTACAAGTTGTTCAACGAAACCAATCGACTGTACACCCAATGAACGAATCACAAAACGAATTGCTCTGCAGCAATGTTCTATTATCCTTACACTTTTTTCATATTTACTAAAAACTTTTGAAAGGATTGGCCATATTTCATTTGCAACATCTAACCATGGAATATTTGCTTCATTCACTGCACCTAAAATTTTTGGATCATATGATCATAATGCCGAAATATTATAAGAAATTAATACCATTAGAATTTCCATTCTGTGGATTATTTGCTGAATTTGACCAAGGTCGTAAAATGCGAAATACAGCCGCTATTCGATCAATCCACAACACTGGATCCTGACTTAATCGATTCCAGCTATTTGCAGCATTCTCATTACTAACCGTGTAATTATCAACTTTCGCATCTAGCGTATCCACCAACTTTAATTAATTATTTGAATATTAAAAGAAAAGAACTCGCTTTAAATATATGATATAATATATAAATTCCATTAAACCAATCGAATTTTTTTCGCTAAAATAAGGAATAAAGAAACAGCAATGGAAAAACAAACAAAACGAAGGTGGAATAGATACAAATAATTTTGGCACTCTACTACAAAACTTTCAGAGCACTGGCCGACACTTTGATGGGAAACCACCTTGCCTCAAGAATATTATCCATAAACAAGATTCTCTAAATTCTGAAGTTAATTGTTGTACAATTCTTTTCAACCTTTAGAAATTCTTCAAGATAATCAACCTTCAAGATAATCAAATAGTAAAATATTTCCTCTAAAACACGTTAAGAGGCAATAAAACGATTCGCAACTATAAAAAAGTGAATATGATGTGGGCATGAAGGATATTCCGGAACCAGAAAGTTTCTGGGAAACCAAGAATTTTATCCAAATTAAGCACAACATTACTTGACAAAATTGCGTTCGCTCACGATATATCACTCGATCATAACCGTCGTATCAGGTGCAAGCTACGATGGACTGACCTGTACCGACAAAACATGGTGGTTTTGACACGAATTGGGGTTTATTTGTGCCGGGCCAGTTTTCTTACTGCATAAGACCCATTTTTCGCCACAGATAAAAGACGGTTGGAAAAATGGTGATTTCGTAATACTCGATAAGAATGCATTTTTAACTGAACAAATTCTTTATTTTCAGTTTTTTTATTCACAAATTTTTACCATTTCTGTTAATGTTTTATGATTTTTTCTTTTCTTTAATTAGTGTGGGTACTACTCATTTTTCGAGCCTTCTATTTTATCAAATATATTACAAGAAACGCCAAATTATCCTCGGAAATCTGCAAATCTTTCTTTGATTAGCCCCCACCATTTTCTTTATAGAGAGCTACTTGATATCTCAATTTGAATTTATAAACTACCATAAGTCATGCTTCTCCATGTCCTAAGTTGAAAATGTAAAATTAGCTATTTACTAAAAAAACAATGAAGCTGATATGAAGCACAGCTATATATAATATATTCGACTACATTTGTATATACATGGTATCAGTCCCAAAGATTCAGGAAAACTTGCTGGATTATCTAACAGTAATGATAATAAAAGTGTGACATTAAAAAATAATGAAATGGAAAAGGATATATAGTTGATAAAAACACTGATAAATGATATTAATATAGTTAATAATATTAAAGATAAATTATATATAATAATAATAACGATAATAATTATGGTAACAATAATAATGATAAAAGCTGAGCTGGTAACTAAATAAATAGCATATAACTAAATAACTAAATAAATAACTAAATAGCAACTATTATAATAACTATGAGCATAGTGTTCGATCAAAAGGAAAAGTAATAACATCAAACGACAGCACGACGTGGATCTCAACATCCCACCCAACGTTTCTGACCAGCACTTCCCAGTGGCCTAGGTCCACTTATTCACAAACTACCATAATAATTAAAGAAAATAAAAAATCATAAAATTAACAGAAATGGCGAAAATTTGCCGAATTTTTAAAATTTTTTAATTTTTACACTAAAAATAAATTTACAACTGCTAGCGCCTTGAAAAAAAAATTACACATATTCCAGCTCCAAATTTTTTTTAAAGTAAAACTGCCTCATAATACAAAAAAATAGTTTACCGCCGTCAATCGCTCTGCTTGAGGTAAGGTTAGTTGCCCCAGACGAATAACGGTTTCTTCTGCAGGAGCGCCATTGAGGATTGAAGAACAAGCTAAAGAAGTTATTTTAAAAAATAACTTTTTTAAAAAAAGATTTACCTCAGAGAGAAATATGAATGCCTTTGAACTCTTCAGAAAGCAATCCCTTTTTGGTATCCCCCTCAAAAATGCACATATTCATTTAACACCATTAAATACCGTTAAACTGAGAAAAGAGAATGTTCTATTTTCAAGCCTATCGGACCATTCTTTTCCTTTGATACTGCCCCTCCAAAAAAAGAGATTTCCTTTACATTTTACGATATATTATTGCTTATTATCATTGTTATGCAAATAAATTTTATCAAACTTAAATGCTGGTACTTTTAAATAATATAATTAAAGTATGAACAGTTTTCGATTTTGTTTCAATTAAATTATATTTTTATTGAAAATAAGATTATTTATTCTCTACAATTTTAAAATATCGTAAAATTAATTAAAATAAATGATGCCTGTTATCAAAGAAAGTATCGCAGTTTCCATATGCTGTCCTTTCGTTGTGCTTGTTTCTAAGATAGGTATTACAGCCAAAATTTGGTCAAAATACTTTATAAGCTGAAATTCGAATTTTGCACAGATATTTTCCAATGCCTTTGCAGCAACTTTCGAAAAATTAACATTTGTTATTTTCAACAATAACCAAGAAATTGATACATCTGAAAATATCAAAAAAAAAGAATTTTATTTTTTTCGACTACCAATTAAACAAAGATTATGGTTGAATTGCTAATCTAATTAATCACCAAAAAACGCAACGCAAGATCCGAAAAGATTATCAGTCTGTCATTAATAGGATTTTAAAAAATGAATAAAGCTAAAAAGCTGAAGCAAAAAATATAAATGTTTATTTTTGGTTATCAAATCAGAAATATCTAACCAGCGAATTCGACGATAGGATTTTTCAAAAACAATAAAAAATTCAAAGGAAAATTTACCACGATATTCCACACATTCTTCCAACCATTCTGCGGCGCTCCCCATAATCCGTATCGAAGTGAAAATAAGTGTGGGATGAGAAGTATCCGGCAAATTCAAAATTGATTGCAAAAGTAATGGCGTGAATTTCTTTCCACTCCTATAGCCAGTCTATTATTTCACATCAATAACTTTTAAATATTCTTGAAAACTGTAATTTTTGGTTTCTTGCGACAATTTTTGGTTATGTTACAGCCTTCTACTCCCTTATTTTTTGCCACTCTTAATCATTATACTATTTTATTATCAATAATTTACCCTATCACCTCATTTCCAAATTTTTCTTTATCATTTTATGAATACCTCGGCAAAAAATTTACTTTCTATCCCGCCCTTATGGGCCTTATAAGCCTTTTCTTATTTCAATATTATCTTATTTCATGTTCCATGATCTAACGGTTCCCTCACAGATAAATGGAAAGCTTATGAAGTTTTGGAAGAAATCTATCAAGTCTAAACATTTGAAAAAATGATTTGAAAAAAAAACTTACGGTATAACATTATGAATAATCGTTGAAATAATATAAAGTGCTGCTTCCGTCTCGTCCCACGTACCGGAGGAAACTGATCGGATTACAGAAAACATCTAAAATATCTATTTAAACTTTTATGATATATTACTCCCTAAAGTTGCCAGTAATGCTAGCTCTGTATCCGATAAGATTTTCAGAGAAAATCGGACAAACTTTATTGATGACCTAATTAAGAACCTTATGAAAATTTCCATATTGCTTTTCTTATGCTTTTTCTTTTTCTCTTTTTCGCTTAATAATGTTAATCTATCAACATAGAAAAATGGTAATATTTCGACTTCATGTTATCAACTCCACGCACTGTTTTTCTTTTTCTTTCAATAAATGAATAAACTGGCACTTGCTGAATTATTCTCATTCTTTTTTCCCTATTTGCACGAGTTAAAATCAAAAATAAGTGGCCAGTGCTCATAAATTCTGGCCAGGATCGCTCCATTGGCCTGCAACAATCATTCAACTATAATATTCGGGATAATTTTTTGAACCTCTATGTTTTGTACAGACGTTAAACCAAGGGAAAGAATAAATGAATAAATGCACCATTTCAACACAGTGATCGCTCCCAATAATAAAAACAACATCTTTAATCGTATCTGATACGTTATGACGAAATTCAACAAAATCATCGCTTTCATCGGGAAGACCCTCATAATCGGTGTCGAATCGACAATGTTTATAAAGAGCCATAATATATCTGAACAAAAAGAATATTAAAGAATATTCAGTAACAAAATTATAGCTCCAATCCTTCTCAATCAACTCTTCATTAAGCAATATTTAACCATTAAACGTGTAGTACATGCCATATCACCAATATCATGAATACACCAAACAGTATTTGTTGTTAACCAGCATAAATTCAGAGAATAATAATACATTTATAAATGAAATTATTTACCAAATAGTAAAAAAAGCCATATTACCAGTGGGTAAAATTATCTTAAAATCTTACAACACTACACTTCGTTACCGTAAGACTTCGTTAAAGCTTCTTTCTTTTAAAGCTTAAAAGTTTCTAAAGTTTTTTTAAAGCTTCTTCGAACTATGCTGCACTATGGTCATATTTGCCGAAAGAATATAATCATCCTTATTACTTGCTAATTCTTACCTGATATTTCCTATTGCTACAAAATTTTATAATTATAATTATATTATAAATCCAAAAGTGCACTTCGAGACTGACAAAGAAAAATATAGAGATAAACGGTTTTAAGGAGTTACAATCGGATCTGAAGTTATAAGTGGCCGAAAAGGATTTAAGTTTATATTAATAATGGATTAGCGAAAATGCTCAGGGCATTGAGGAGATATTTGAGTCTGAACACAAAATAGCCCTTATCTAAAAGTTTAATCAATTTTTGAAGAATGGCTTCCATCCTTAATGGACTACTTGGAATATTCGTTCAATGTAACTAGCCTGCGAAAAGCGAATTTGACAATATATTACAAAGGAATATGGAAAAAAGATTATTACTACGGGGTTTTAGCAAACGAATAGAGAAAAGCTTAATGGACAGATAAAGAGAAATAAGAAAGAACTTTTATAACAAATTTTGACGAAATTATTAAGGGACAATGACGGTCAATATCCAAAAGATTACTGCAAGAAAGTTTGAGGTAATTTTGGCAATAGAGTATGGAATTCCACACGAATTCAACCAGGCTTGATAAAAAATGGTTTTGAAAGATGAGCGCAGAGCGCAAACAGACACTGATCCACTCCATTTGTACCATCTATTGCCTCGATATAATATCTCTGCCATATAACTCTCTCTCTCGAACAAAATTAAAAAAATTAAAAATAATATTCGTCCGAAGGAGCAATTTAATTTTAATGGAAGCGAAAACCACCAAATAGAACCAAAATTGTCTTATCTCATTTTTCAAAAACCATAAGTAGGATTTTCAATGGTCAGAAACTTTTGCTTCATGAATTAGAGATCCTAATCCGAAATAACATCACCTGCAGTGCGTACACCGCACAAGAAATGTTATGGCTATGATTTTGTACATAAATGAAAAAATTTTACTCACCTTTCAATATAAGGAACGAATTTCATGTTTAAAGCGTCATCATTTCGATTGAACAAATATTCTGACAGACGATACCAAATATTGAAAGTCATTTCAATCAGCTGAAATTTTCGAACAGAGCAAAAACCATGAAAAAAATCAATCACATCAAACCGCGAAGAGAAGTAAAAATTGATTCTTTAAAAGAATGAAATAAATAGTGCATTTTTCAATAAATTTTCTGCTTTCATTTCATTTCATTGAAAATTCAGATTCTGATAATATAAACTAACTGAATATGATAGATTAAATAAAAATTGTAATAACATAGTTTAAACTAACTGAATAATCGTGATAACCAGCTAGCATTAACAACATATCCAAAGTTCTAAAATCTCCCAGCTCTTGACCAGGATATCTTACCATACATTCTAAGAATGATTCATTCATTTCACAGATGATACGCGCGTAATTTTGTAACCTAAACTTTTAAAAATTATTTTTAATATTATATTTAATATTTTGCATTTTTAATATGCTTTTTCTTCAAAATTGAAATTTCCAAACTGAAAAAAAAAACTGCTGGACATGTAATACCAGACAGTGATAATGAATTTCTGCACAAAAGGAATTTCCATCCATAAAAAATAAATTTGTACCTATCACAATCCTCGGTCGCGACTGCAATTTGAAAAGCACCCATCATGCCGTAACAAGCAGTCTGTAATGATAATGCAAGCTTTTTATGAGCCGTAACATCTTCAGAACGATATAAGGCAGAAACAATACATTCACATGCTGCATCATGCAACTCCGCTGGTGAATTCTCAGTTTGCTGCAATATTTCTTCAAATTACCGAAAATTTTTTAAAAAACTTTCTGAAAAAAACAATAGCATCATATTGAAATAAACTTTAGATTTGTTTATTTGATTTGACAAAGCATAAGCGACCTTTATTATTATTAAGTCTCAAAGTTATTTCAACTAAATTACAAAAAAAAACTATTTTTCTCCAAAAAAATGAAAAAAAAATTGAAATACCAAAAGAGCACAAATTGAAATGAAGAAAGGAGAAGAAGCAAGTTCATCAGTATAAACAAGTGGATTCGATAGCCATGAAGATAAACATTGTAAAGCTTTCTTGATTACAGCAGTATTTTGCGAATTGGATGCGCAAATATTACTCTGCATCGATAGAATATGACGAAAAAAAATGAACAATTATACCAATTAAATTAGTGTGAAAAACGATAAAATCGTAAAAGATTGAAAAAACTTGCGATATTTTTTTTTCAACCACTAACAATAAAAACATTTTAAAAAAGCGGTTTCTTTAAAAAATAAAAAATTTATAAACCTTAAAATTATATTGTTCTAAACAAAAAACTAGGTCCATTTCTTTATTTTACTTTTCATAAAACTATTGGAGGTAATTTTTGAAATAATAAGGAATTTCGACAATCCATCAAAAGTATGTTTCAAATATAAGAAAATACCAACAAGAAAATTTAAAACAGAGCTAGTTTGTTGAGATAATTCAGCATTTACTGCACGCCGCCGATTCTCTCCAATTCTCAAATGCTTACTCTGTGCTTCTTCAGGAAATGCTTTCAGAAGTTCCAATAATATTGGCATCTTTTCCGTAATTTTCGAAAACCTAAATTCGCTTGGTGTAATGCTCATTTTATCTAATTCATCGACTGCAAAAAATTATTGCAAAAGAAATATGAGAAATTATGATCTTTAGCAACTCAAACAATAGATTAAAGCAGTAAACCTCTCAAGAATTTCTCCAATTATATTCGTCCACTGGGGAACTTGTAAATAAAGATCACAGAGCGCAAGGCAGAGCTGAGTTATAATTATTCCATGTCTTTCAAACGGGAAACATTCAAAATTACTGCAAGAATAAGCCGATCATAATCACAATTTAGAGCACTATCATGAAATCCATACTGGCGGACTCAGGAGGACGACAACAAAGCGACAATCAGAAATCCCGAAAGTGTTGCGCATCCTTTTCTAATCCAAATCGCTTTTCACTGCATGCAGTGGTGCATTGGAAGTGGGAATCCGATTTATTCAATCAAAGATCTTTTTCAACATTTGGGAGGTTTCGATCTTGATCGTCGTTTTGTTTTGCGATGTATTAATATTGGCGATTATTGAAGAAGTAAGCCTTTAGAATTGAAAATGCATTAGAAATATGTAAAAATTTTAAAAATGATAAAATGGAAAATGGCATATGGTTAGGAATGTTTAGTTGAAGGGGATCAAGGGGATTTGTTCGCGGATTCTCCTCTTCGCATATTCCATTTAAAAAGCTAACTTGTGAAAAAAATGAAGGCGAATAAAGGATTATTTAGGATAATTTTGAAACTCCAATAGCAACATATCTTAATTACTGATATTTTACGCCAAATGAACAGATTGAGTTAAAAAGATTAAGAAAGTGGAACATGAAACTCTCTGGTAAAAAAAAAAGAAGACAAACCTAAGATGATTCAATATTGAATCACGAAGAGATACGCAAGATGATGCAGGAAGTTCAAAAAAGTTATGCAACAACTTTTGGCGCATTGTTTGAGCAGCAAAATAACATGCTACGATATTCCGTTGTTCACTCAATATTCGATCGCATATTGACCATGCCGGAATCTTAAAAACGAGAACATCATGTTAGACCCGTCAGAAAACTTCATGAATCTTTAATCCAAGAAATTCCCTACGTAGATGAATTCCATATAATGTGGAATCTTTCTAAATATTTATTAAAATTTCACCGTTCTTTGAAATTCCGATAACCATTTGCTTGCTTCTTCACAACGTGCACTACTTTGACAATTAAGAGCATTTATAGCTTGATAAACAATTTCAATATTTTCCATTTTATCTATAATCCATTATTTCGAAACCAAAAGAAAATAGACGAACTCCTAAGATAAATTTTCCGAGTGATAGAATCCATTTTTTTAGGCGAAAAATCAGTCAAAGACACAAAAACTTTTCAGCCTCGCTTCATATAATAGTTTTAAGACCAAAAAAATAAATCGCGTCTAAAAACGACTCGAATCAACCAAAGGTAGAAAAATACTCTCAAAATTTTATTGCATCTTCACGTATTAAATATTAAATTTAATGCGATCAAAAAGAGATTTAGAATTACAAAGATATCTTTCAAGTTTTAAAAAAATTTAAAAAATTAAAAAAACTGAAATAAAATGCAGATATCGGCCATTAATCTTTTCCCTTCAAACTATTTCAAACTACTTTACTACATTGAAGTTTTCTCACTTTTGTGAAAAATTTTTCCTAAATTTAATATATTCAAATTAAAAATTTATTCAAAAAGCAAACAGATCAATTCGTGATTCAAAAAGAGCTCGCATACAACATATTTCTGCAGTAAAACCGCCAACTCGACGAGCGGCACTGAACGTTCTTATATGCTGTAAAAATCCGCCATTTGATATCTGTTCAACAGATGGCAACGCAGGACCGTTAATGGGAAGTTCTGGAGGACGGTAAACGAATGGCCTACCGCTCACACGAACGGGAGCAAATGAAGCAGTTTCCTGACGTTTTTGTTGAGCTTCTGCAAGAAAATTTAAATTATTTTCTACGAATTGATCCAGTTTGAAAATTAGGAAATAAGAAAAAACCAACCTAATTTAGATTTCTTCTTACGTTTCGCTGCATTTTCTTTTTCAAATAATTCGGCTTCAATTTGCCTTTTCCTTCTTCGATCCAGAATAACTTCAGCAGGAAGATCAGAATGCTTTAATTCGTCAATAATTTCCTTGGTCTTCGTTTCTCTTGATGACTTTCCCAGAACTTCCTTCTGAGAGGATGAAAATGAAGCGAAATCAAGTGGGAAGAAACATTTTTTTGAAGAAATATTTTGATAAAATGCATTTTGCACGATAATAGCCAAATTTTTTCTCTTTGATTAAAAACTAAGAAAATAAAATGAAAAAATTATTGAGAAAAGATTTCTTATAAAAAAAAATTTTGAAATTGTAGAAGTAAACCTCTTGACCAAATGAGGCACTTAATTTTATTTTCTTTTCATTTTCCAGATGCTGCATAATCCATTCCTCATCTTCTGATAACTGTAAGAATTTATCGACTTAATAGTTATTTTAAAAGATTCATACTAGCTTGAATATTTCTGCTTAAATAATCAAGTTAGGGAAAAACTGGCTATAAAATGATACTTTATATCTGTTACGGTCAATCAAAGAAGCATTCTCATTTTTAAAGCGATTTATTTCAGCTTCTGTTTCAGTTACATTAATTCCATCGACTAGATTGAAAACAAATATTTCAATCCTTTCCAAATAATCATTATATTCCCGTAGAGTACCAAAATCATCGCGTTTTAAGTTGAAAATCTAAAATATATGACCAATTATAAATAAAAAGAAAAGAGGTATAAAACTGTTCGTATAATTTTTATAAAATTTATCATAATTTATATTTTTTACAACCATCATCAAAATTTAATATGACTTTTATGACCTTTCTTTACAAAGTAACTGCTTTCATTTGTTTACATTTTAATCTAATAAAACAATCACTGTTCAATTGCAATTAAAAACTTTCTTAAGATAGACAAACGATTATTAAATGACTTTTTTCAATCTTTTTCTAATATTTAATTCCTTTTCTAATTTCGAACTGAAAGTTTGTTCCCAAAATCCTTTCTTCAATAAAATTTTCCCACATCGAGGACAAGCAGCACTGTTGCGAGCGAATAAATTATTAACACAATTCCTAAAATTTTTTACTGGTGAGAAAAATAATGTAATAGTGTAAAGAAGTGTTCATGAAGATCCAAGCATTTTTAAAAATTTATAAATTTATTAATAGGAATTTTTGGAATATTTCTGAGGGATTAAGCTAAAAATAAAACAAAAAATAGTTGGTTTTACTTAAATATCTTAGTATATCAATCTATCAGAAATAGCTCATGATATTTAAAAAACAATTGGGAAAATAGAAACAAGAGAATTTAGAAAATAGAAAAAAAGATTACCTGCATAATGGATGACCGCACTCATTGATAAGCATAACAAATGAAGGATTATTGTAATCACTGGTTTTACATTTCGGGCATTCACGCATAATTATATCGTTTAAAAAATTTGATTAAGCAAAAAATTTTTTAAAATCAATTTAGCTATTCAACTGCTTCTGATCTAATTCTTGTTCAATAATGAGTTTTGACGGAGGGTAATAACTGTGAACAGCAACCTGACGATTAATAATTGCCAAAAAATCTTGACACTTCTACAAAAAATTCTCAACAAATTAATCAGAAATAAAAACACGGGATTATATAATTATCCAAAAATTTAAGAAAAATGAAGTACAAAAATCAAAAAAATCAAAAAATTTAGCTGATAATTACTTTTATATAATTACTAATATAATTATTTTTATAATTGTTTTTTCGATTTTTTTTTCTTTAAATTTTTATTCCCCTTAAAAATATATGACTAGAAAATATTAAGAAACTAAGAAGAAAATCTTCAAAAAAGTGAAATCATTTAGCCATATAAAGAGAAAAATTATAAAGCGTAGAAAAACCTGCTGGAATTCAATTTCCGAAAGATTTTTGTCAGCCAATGCTCGTTCAAAATGATCACGTATGCGACGCCTGAAGAAACGACGATAGTTATATTGTGGAAACTGAAAATTTATTTTTAAGAAATAAGACAAAAAAGGAGAGGCTCCAGCAGTCAATATTATTTAGAGAGTCCACAGAAAAAAAAAACCAGACCGTTTGATAATTTTGGCGAACAAAGGCAATGACTTTTTTCAGTAATTTCTGACTACTTAGCCTACAGCACATAAATTTTTCTCGTTTTTTTACCATTCATTTAAAATCTATTTGCCGCCATCGAAAACTGAGAAATAATTTGATGCTTACCCCTTGCATCTACAATCTACAATCATTCACCTCCTATCCCACCTAACGCTGCATTATTCCTCCATAATAGAGCGAGGAATAGGGGGTGGATCACATAACAGGAAATGAATTCTTCTTGTAGGAATGTCTAGAATTTATAAGCAAAATTTCATGTTTTCGCCTGAATATTAAAGGTTTCAACTTAGAAACTTTGCAACTCACTTATCAACTTTCAGTTTGATAAAGACAACAAAACTCAAAAAATAACTAACTTTAGCTGCCGATCTTTGCAAATCTTTATACAAACTTATCCAAGCCGACCGCGCTATAACTGCCATTTGATACACTGCATCTGCATGCAACCGAAAGAATTGAGACAATGTGCACAGAAATCAGATAATCTCTGTAGAACTTCTAAAAATTGAAAATAAAAGCATTAAATGCAGCACAAAAATTCTTTTGTGTTGCCAATCGTCGGCATAGCGTGGTTCTGATTGGCGTATTCTGTTGCAATCGTCAACGTCTATAGAAAGTTTGAGTTCTTAAAATTTTTTTCTGGACTTATTTGAGGATTTGGTGATGACTTTCTCTCAATACTAATGTTCCATATTTTCTTCTTTTTCTTCTAATAGCTCTCACCATTACTGGTTAGGCTGGCTTCAACGGCTACAAGGGTAAAACGTTCCCAAGCTGTATGGTCTGATGCCATCGTCGACAGTAATAGAAGCCATTCCTTTTTCCATCGTCTAAGTCCATATATTGCTGGTCCACCTATACGTTCAAAATCTTTCAGTCCAGCTCTTGATTGGCCCACCTCGCTTTTGACGCCAACCACTATATGGTTTAGCAAGTAACGAAATATGCGTCAACTCCTATGGTGGATGACGAAGAACATACCCTAATCAGCGAAGGCGACACTCTGTGATGGTACTGTTAATGCAAGTGGTATTTGTGATATTTGAACGAGGGTGGATGTGATCATATGAAATTTTATCCACTCAGCGAACATGTATCTTAGACATGAATGGTAAAAGACAGATAATTTCTTAATATCTTCCACTCTCATTGGCGATGTCTTGCTACTATATAGCAAGATTGAGCGAATCGCGGCTATATAGACGCGGTCCTAAGTGATCTTACGGTGATCTTGCTTTCCTGAAGTGGAAGTATTTCTAGCTGGCGTTCCACACTGATAAGGCTAACACCTCGCCGCGCATGCAGAGAGCCGTTCCTCTCGATAGGTTTCGAACAGTTGTCCTGGCTTGCGAGCATATTTTATTCATGAACCTTGGGATCGTTTTCGCCCGGATTGTATATTTATTTTACCACAGGGTTTGGAATATCATGCGCGTCGGAGGACGCGGGCGCCGTTTCAAAAATATCTGACCTTTTCTCCATAGAGTCACTTGGGAGTTGAATTGCAGGTGGGTCCCCAGCAACCACCAAGATTTTTGATAATGACATTTACTCCTATTGAAGATAAACATGATATATTATTTTATAATATTATTTATTAATCGCAAAAGGCAGGAGAAAAATAATTAAAAAATTTAAATTTATTTATATATTTATTTAACTTATATATATATATATATATATTTTTTATTTTTTGTTTCTTCGTTTTTAAATTTAGAAAGTAAAAAAAAGAAACTTAGCTTATTGTTTATAAAAAATTCTAAAATATTCCAAAAATAGCAGTGAAGTAACAGCGAAATAGAAATAACCGCTCAAGATTCGAAATTTTAAAAAAAACAATTACAATTATAGGGACAATTGTTACTCTAGCATATATTCATATTGTATTTTATATTATAGTGTTCCATATTATCCATAAAATAAAATAGCTAGAAATCATAGAAAAGCAATGTGGGAAAATTTCGCGGTTTGTTATTTTTGCCATCAATAAACGTAAACGCCAAGTCTGGTCAAATACGCAATTTCTACTTTATTTCACAACTTCCAGAGTAATATTTTGAAAAACACAAAAATTGTTTTAAAAGAAGATCTCTCTGGATGTATAAACCCGATATTGTTAGGACCCGTGCGTACCTCTATCCTCGGGTAATCCTCCGGTGGCGAAGATATCTCATTTGCGTCCCAATGGATCAATGCGCTCAAACCATTGATAATGAATGGTGCTATTTGTTGATTGTTATGAATTTACAAATTTCTGCTTTAAGATACGGTCGATAAGAGAATTCGATTTAATTTAATTTTGTTAATCAATAAAAATAAATTACGAATTTATAAAATAACGAAAAATTTATCATAATAAGCAAATTTAATTCATCAAAATGTTACTGCGCATTTTTCATGATTCGTTTTATTTTCGTCGATTTGAGATGAAAAATAACGGACAAACAATAAGCGAGTAAGCCGGTATTAATTCAGATGAATTGCCGGTGAAATGATCAATTTTCCAACAAAGGTCATTCATTCATTCGTTCACATCCTTGATAGGAACAATCAAGCAACAGCTGCCACTGTTGGACTCTGTCAGATGGCGTTTTCAACGAGGAAACAAAGACGTGCGGTGATCATTAATCATTGCATGCAATCACCATCCATCCTTACATAGTCCTCTCTTATTTAGAAACTAATAGGACTCTATTCTCATCGGCTCTTTTATTTGTTTCATGAGAATGTCGTTTCTGAACTTCTCTTCTACTTCATCTAATAGTAGTAAAGTCAACATTTATTATTTATACTCAAGTTCGGCAAGTCAAGGTTAATAAAATAAGGCAATTTCGCTAGAGAATAGGAGAGAGTGATACAGATAGTTGCTCGCGGGCGATCCGGGTTCGATTCCCGGCCGACTCACCATGTACAAAAAACTTGGCAATACGAAATTTCGCGTGGAAGCACGGCGATTCCCACTTCCAATATCTACATTTACAAAATTCCTTCGGGAATCCACTCCACTGTGTTTTTCTGTTCAAACAGGTCATCTGATCTCGTCAAAATGAGGGAATCTTAATCGAAGCAATATAGCATGCCTTGTCCTTGAATTTGCCTAGTATATGTCAAAATCATTGATTCTTTTCGTCAAAGAAATTTTATTCAAAAACTTTTGTATATTTTTAATCTCAATTTTTTTTATATTTTTTAATATATTTTAAAATTTATGGCTGTCAAAGATTAATTTTTAAGGAAATCAATGTTTTAATCAACGAATTTTAAATTATTTAAAAAATTCAAAACGAAATTGGTATGATGGAATAAGGAGGAATGTAGAAAGTATCGAAAAAAACGTTAGTTGCTGACAATTGGTCAAAAATGGCTGTGTTGGCTTCCTTATGTATAATTTTATAAAAATTTCTCTCAGCCTATGGATAGTAATGATCATCCTTAACCTCGGCTACTCTACCAGAGACCTGCGAGATTAAGGATTTTACGCGATATCTTAGCTATTCCAAGCAGTTCCCTATTCTGGACAGAGATCTCTGAATTTTGTAAATGTAGATATTGAGATCTCTGTTTCTTCCAGAATCTGTTGATGCCACTTTTCTAGTTTAGAGCGCCACAGTTCCAAATACTCCAATTATCACTTCAACTGCTTTGGCATTTACATTTCTCTTGTTCCTTTTTCAGCCCTTGGTATTTCTCTAATTTCTCATTTTCCTTCCTTTTTTCTTATGACGTATTCCTTCATCATCAATGTTGATTTGTTTTTTGTTACTGCCACGATATCTGGTTGACTGGCCAGTACTTGTTTATGTCTGGATAGGGAAGTCCCACAAGATCTTCGCCTTATTATTCTCTACCATTCAGGAATCTCTTATTTAGTTTTTGAAGAGTCAAAGCCAAATACCAAGCAGATGTTCCTCTAGGTGATGCCAGCTACTTGGTTATGCCTTTCAATAACTTTCTTTTCCTAACGGCTCTAATTATTACTGGTTAGGCTAGCTTCACTGGCCACCACCCCGAGTAAGATGTTTCCAAGATGCGCGATCTGATTCCATCGTCGACAGTAATAGAAGCCACTCTTTTTTCCATCGTCTAAATCCACACGTTATTAGTCCATCTATACGTTCAAAATTTTTCCTAACGTGTCTTGATTGGCTACTCTTGCTTTTGATGCCAGCCATCATAGGGTTTAACAATTAGCGATATGTGTCAACTCTTGTCGTGGGCGGCGAAGAACGTGCCATAACCAGCGAAGGCGACACTCTTTGATGGTACTGTTAATGCAAGTGGTATTTGTGATATTTGAAGGAAGGTTGATGTGATCATGTGAGATTTTATCCAGTCGACGAACCGTAAAATGTATCTTAGACATGAATGGTCAAATGCAGATAATTTTTCCTCCACTCTCATTGGCCATGTCTTATAACTATATAGCAAGATCGAACGAATCACTGCTATATAGATGTGGACTTCTGTTTTTATGGTCATTAATGGTTGCTACGGCTCCATAAAATTTTCGCAAACGGAAAGAACGCATTTCACCCATTTTTAGCTACTGTAATCCGAGTTGAAATATCTTACCTGATCATTGGTTATTAGAGTGGACCCAAGGTATTTAAAAAATCGGACATTTTCTCGACCGGCAATTTACAAAAAGAGGCATTTTATCAGCTTCTTGTACATGAGACGAAAAGACTTTCGTTTTATTTATATTGACCCTTAGTCCAATTCTCGTTGCAATTGCTGACACATTATTTAGCATTATTTGCACTGTCAGCAAAAATTACAACACCATCAACGTATTCAAGATCTGTGATACAATGCTCTGGACTGATTTGTATACCTCTTACCGACAAGTGGTGTCCATTATCCAGTCTATCACATTGTTGAATATTGTAGGGGAAAGGATACAACCTTGACAGATACCAGTTATTTCGGAGGAGCCTGTTCCCCATATACATAGACATACGCTCATAAAATGCCTTCATAAGTCGAGTGATCTTTTTTGGAACACCGTCGCATTCCATTCCATCACCATCTAAAGCTTTTCTCTATCAATTAAATCAAAGGCAGCCGCAAAGTGGATGAAACACGTGATAGTGGGTTGCAAATATGTGAGTCGATGTTCCAACACCTTTCTTAACTTGAATATCTGGTCATCACAATCGCGCCCAGGTCTGAATCCAACTTAATTAGGGCCTTTCAATTGTTCTTGCTTGAATTTTATATTCTGCTATTATGGCTGTTTCTGGGGCGTTTTTGCAAGTCTGTATCCAGAGTCCTGTCTAGTTTGGTAGATCCTTATTTCGATGAATCTGGTGCTTAATGCTTGTTCCTCTGCTGCTGTAATCAATGCCTCAGTATTACCTTTTAGTTTCCAATCATTGGTAGAGTTCACAATGTCAGCTACCTCTGTCTATCGATGGTGTAA